CGGAAAGTGGGAGGGGGCGGGGCTAGGGTGGCACCCCGTGTCCTCTTTTTTGATTGTTGAAATATGGTAATCCTAGAGTCAAGGCCACTCTATCCATGATGGGCTTCTTTAAAGAGACCGAACCTATCTTGAACCCCTGCCCCCCCCCAGTAGTTAGGTGCTCAGCAGCTAATTGGTTAACGAACATTAGGCCTGTTAAGGGGCTCCCAGCTGAAGGAGGAGCTCTTGGAGAGAGGGCCTGGGAGCCTTTTAACAGGACCAGAGCTTCACTAAGCAGATGAACTAAATGAATCAGGTCCCAGGAGAAGGGGAATGTCTCTGGGCGGGGAACCTAGAACGGGGGCTGATATGGGTGTAGTTTGACTTCTATATTTGGAGCGGGTGGCTCCAGTCAGGCCAATGGGGCCGCACATGGGGTGGGGGTGGGGGACACATTCCGTGCCTGCCCACAGGGGCACCATTTCAGATTGGGGGGGGGGGGTGACGCAATTTTAACTGTGATTCCAGGGGGTACTTAGGCAACTGAAAACTCCAGTGTTTTTGTAGATAATAAGTTAGAAATTATCAGACAAGAGCACAGTACCTAATTCCTATATCAAGAAAGAAAATTAAATAAATATTAGACCCACTCAGCTCTGATACTAACATGTTCTGACATCTTGCGACAAGTCACTTATGGGACACTGGCTAGGTTTAAAATGGTCATGTATATTCTCACTCAGATATGCTTACTGAAGTCAGAAGGGGCCAGCGTGATCATCTAGTCTGATCATGCACCTCGCAGGCCACAGAACCTCACCCACCCACTCCTGTAATAGACCCCTGAGCTCTGGCTGAGTTGCTGAAGTCCTCAAATCACGGTTTAAAGATTTCAAATTACAGAGAATTCACCATTTACACTAGTTTAAACCTGCAAGTGACCTTATGCCACATGCTGCAGAAGAAGGTGAAAACCCCCCAGGGTCTCTGCCAATCTGAGTCAGGGGGAAATTCTTTCCCAACCCCAAATATGGTGATCAGTTAGACCTTGAGCATGTGGGCAAGACCCACAAGGCAAACACCTGGGAAACTCAGAGCCCTCCCCATCTAGTCACATCTCCAGCAGTTGGGGATTTTTGCTACTGGCAGTTGCCGATGAGCCACATGCCATTGTAAGCAGTGCCATCATACCATCCGTTCCATACATTTATCAGGCTCGGTCTTGAAGCCAGTCAGGTTTTTTGCCCCCACTACTCCTCTTGGGAAGCTGTTCCAGAACTTCACTCTTCTGGTGGTTAAAAGAACAGGAGTCCTTGTGGCACCTTAGAGACGAACACATTTATTTGAGCATAAGCTTTCGTGGGCTAAAACATGGCTGCTCTTCTGATGGTTAGAAACCTTCACCTATTTTCAAGCCTAAACTTGTTGATGGCCAGTTTATATTCATTTGTTCTGAGGTTCACGTTGGTGCTTAACTTAAATAACTCCTCTCCCTCCCTGGTATTTATCCCTCTGATGTATTTATAGAGAGCAATCATATCTCCCCTCAGTCTTCTATTGGTTAGGCTAAACAAGCCAAGCTCTGTGAGTCTCCTCTCCTAAGGTAGGTTTTCCATTCTTCAGATCATCCTAATAGCCCTTCTCTGCACCTGTTCAGTTTGATTTCACCTTTCTTAAACATGGGAGACCAGAACTGTACACAATACTTCATGTGAGGTCTCACCAGTGCCTTGTATCATGGTACTAACGCTTCCCTGTCTCTACTGGTGTCATAACTATAAAAGGAAGGGTAACAGCCCTCCTGTGTACAATACTGTGGAATCCCTCCTGGCCAGAGACTCCAAAGTCCTTTTGCCTGTAGAGGGTTAAGAAGCTCAGGTAACCTGGCTGACACCTGACCCAAAGGACCAATAAGGGGACAAGATACTTTCAGATCTTGGTGAGGGGAAGGCTTTCATTTGTGCTCTTTGTTTTGGTTGTTGTTCGCTCTTGGGACTAAGAGGGACCAGACATCAATCCATGCTCTCCAAATCTTTCT